AATTAATTCCTAATTTGATACAATCTGTACAATAAATACTAAAATCAGGAAGGAAATCATATCAAATCTCAACAGTACTAAGCACCCTATCTATAATTTTGTATGTTATAAGAAACTATCAGCAAACTATCAAGCTTTTATTTCAAAGATTGATAGTATTCAGGTTCCTAGCAACATCAAGGAAGCCCTTGAACATCCAGGGTGGAGGAAGGTTGTCCATGATGAATTAGCAGCATTGAAGAAGAATGGAACTTGGGTGCTTACAGATTTGCCAGCAGGGAAGAGAACTATGGGCTGCAAATGGGTATTTACAGTTAAATATCAGGCTGATGGAATGATTGAAAGGCTGAAGGCAAGGCTGGTTGCTAAGGGGTTCACCCAAGCTTATGGCATTGATTATTCAGAGACATTTGCACCAGTGGCAAAGTTGAACACCATTAGAGTATTGTTATCACTTGCAGTAAACCTAGACTGGCCATTACATCAACTAGATGTTAAGAATGTCTTTCTTAATGGAGACATAGAAGAGGAAGTATTCATGGATGTACCACCTGGGTTAGAAGACTTGGTGAAATCTGGCCAGGTTTGCAGATTGAAAAAGTCCTTATACGGACTAAAGCAGTCTCCTAGAGCATGGTTTGATAGGTTCACAAGATCAGTTATTAAACAAGGGTTCATGCAATGTCAGGCGACCATACACTATTTGTAAAGAGGGCAGATTCTGGAAAATGGTTGTTCTTATAGTATATGTTGATGATATTATTATGACTGCGGATTATAAGGTTGAATTGGATAGATTGAAGGCTCATCTAGCAAGAGAGTTTGATATCAAGGAACTAGGCGAGTTGAAGTACTTCCTGGGAATGGAAGTGGCAAGATCTAAGAAAGGCATTTTCATTTCACAAAGGAAATATGTCCTAGACTTGCCAAGTGAAACTGGAATGCTTGGGTGCAAGCCTATGGACACTCCTATGGATATATCAAAGAAGTTAGGCAGTGAGACTGAAAGTCCACCCATTGATAAGGGTAGATATCAAACGCTGGTTGGGAAGCTAATCTACCTATCTCACACACGGCCAGACATTGCTTTCTCAGTAAGTGTGGTAAATCAATTCATGAATGACCCAACTGAGGAACACCTAACTGCAGTCTATAGAATTCTGAGGTACCTGAAAATGACCCCTGGAAAAGGATTGTTGTTTCAGAAACAAGGGACAAGGAAGATTGAAGTGTTTACCGATGCTGACTGGGCTGGGAGCCTTTTAGACAGAAGACCAACTACTGATTACTGTACTTATGTATGGGGTAACTTATTAACCTGGAGGAGCAAGAAACAATCAGTGGTTTTGAGAAGTAGTGCAGAGTTTGAGCTCAGGGCTTTAGCACAAGGAATCTGTGAAGGATTATGGTTAAGAAGATTGATGAATGAGCTCAAACTTCCATTTGAACGCTCCATCCAGATCTCATGTGACAACCAGTCTACTATCGGTATTGCTAAGAATCCTGTCCATCATGATCAAACACATTGAGATAGATAGAAGATTCTTATCAGAGAAGATGCAGCAAAGGATATCCAGCTGAGCTATGTTCCAACCAGGCAGCAAATAGCTGATATACTCATCAAGGCACTTCCCAGAATTCAGTTTGAAGACTTATCCAGCAAGCTGTGCATGGATGATATCCATCACCCAGCTTGAGGGGGAGTGTAGATTATTACAGATTGTTCTAATTACTCACCTGGTTGAGCATTTATGAGGAGATATCTTAGAGATCTCAGAATCTCTAAATATCCCCAATTATCTTTTCTTTATTAGGGAACCTTAATTAGGAGGATTCCTTCCTTATTTCATTTTTCTCTAGCTATATATATTATGTATTTTTCTCCTTGTATCTTACATAACATAATAAGCAGAATACATTTTACTTTCTCGAGTTATTTCTACAAGGATGTTTTTACTTGGACTGTAATTTGCTGGTCTGGTCTGATTTGAACTGGTCTGGTCTGGTCTGATTTCTTTGTATTTTTATAACTATCCAAGTCTGGTCTGGTCTGAACTGGTCTGGGAGGAATTACAGTCCAAGTAAAAACATCCTTAGTCTTAACATCAAAGTGCGGCAGAAACGAGAACAAATAGCAGTCATGAGTTTTTTGGCAGGTCTTACATCTAAATTTGAAACAGCCAAATCACGCGACTTGTCTAGTGATCTGGTTTCTTATCTTCAAGATGCATTCAGTAAAGTACTTTGCACCAACACTTTATTGACATCTCAGCCAAACTTGTAAGTTCCAAGTTCCAACACTTCACGAAGGAGGTGAGAAATGGCCATATTGGGTATGTTTGGCAAATGGCTTATCAGCCAGCTTTTAGCTTGTTTGACCCATTTCAACTGTTTGATTAGTCAAAGAAGCTAATAATAATGTTTGGTAAATGGCTTTTAAAATTAGCTTGTTGAATTTGAAAAGCTGAAAAAATGGATTGTGGAAGAAGCTAAGGGGAGCAGCTTCTTCATTTGGCTGGTTCAATTTACACTCTATCAGCCATTTCGAAAGAGCCAATTTTACCAAACAATTATTTATAATCAGCCAACATAACCAGTCGGTCAAAACAGCTAACACAACCAGCTGTTTCGCAACAGCTGACACAACCAGCTACCAACAACAGCTAACAACCATTTACCAAACAAGGCCATTGACCCGTTTGACAAAGGGGTAGAAGATTGAAATTCAAAAATCAAGGAAATCATATTGACCCGTTCAACTACAGTAAGAAACCCGAACACTTGATCAAAGTGTAGAAGATTGATGTTCAAAAATCAAGGGAAATCATATTGCTCACGTTGTTTCCGCTACCAGTCATCTGATGGATCAATAACTATGTCTTCTGAAGAATATGCCAAATTTCTTTTCTACCAAGAGTCCCTAATGTATTGATCTACTCCTATCTTGATTATAGCAAATATCCAAACACATGTTTTGTTTCCTCATCCTCAAAATGGGTTATTGACTTGGGAGCAACGGATCATATAACAGGTAATCTTAGTAGTTTTTCCTCATTCCACACACCTTCACATACTTCTAGACTTCCGGTGTGACTTTAGCTTACAGGTCTACTACACCAGTTCTTGGATTTGGTACAATTGTCCCAACTTCTACATTGCCATTGTCACGCGTCTTGAGTATTCCTAACTTTGCTTTTAATTTAATTTCGATCAGTAAAATCACATGTAAATTTAATTGTTCTGTAATCTTTTTCTAGGCTATTGTGTATTTTTGGATCCATTGACGAATCAGATCATTGGAAAAGGATATGAGTCAACTATTCTCTATCTATGAGATGCATCTTACCAAAAGCCATCTCTTGTCTTGGGATTGGAACTGCATTAGAGTCTCACTGTTGACTAGGACATCCATCTCTCCTATTGTTAATGAAAATTCATCCTCAATTTAATAAAATGTCATCTTTACAATGTGATTCGTGTCAATTTGCAAAACATCATCGAACTAGTTTAAGTCCTCAAGTCAATAAATGAGCAAATGCTCCTTTTGAAATGGGTACTATTATACTTAAATCTTTCCCCAAGCTTTGTTGTAGGATCTGCCAAAATCATTCCATGATCAAAGAATTCTTCAGCTATTCCTGGGATTTGGTAAGAACTGCTCTCAAATATTTCTTTAGGCCGTCACCCTCTCATCAAAGACCAAAGACTTCAAAATTTTCTACTTCGGCTTACCAAGATCTCCGGGATTAGAAACTAAGCTATTAAGCATGTTCTCAATTGCCATAGCATCCGCCAAAAAAATCCACACTTTTCATGGATGGTTGTCATGATAGGGAGACTCATCAAAAAGTTGGCTGCTTGCCGGAATCCGCAAACTGGCCGCAAAACAGACGATAACACATACTTCATGGATCATCAAATTTGATGGGTTTTTAGTAAGAAAACATCCTATTAAAGCCCAACGGATATTTAACATACATCCCTCAAGTTCGCCATCAGTGACAATTGCTTCAATAATCCCTTCCCCGTCCTCATCCACTGTAACTTTGGAACCGACTGACTCAAACTTGCTCGCATTGCAGGATTAGAAGAGTCCATGGAAGAGGAGAGAAACTGAGCCAGAGAACACAAAAGAAATCCTAATAGAAAAGATAAAAGCCTCTAATAGGGAGAGGTCACAATTTCCATTTAGCCCCTACACTAACTTAAATAACTCAATAACCTCAAGCTTTCAAAAAGAGTCCAAGATTTAATTTAGACATGTCATGTACGCAAGCGCCACAAACACGATTAGGTACTTAAATGAAAGTTGTAAGCAAGGATAACATCATTTCAACAAAAAGCACATTATAAAAAATAAACAAATAAGCTCAAATTGTTTAAAAAGTTTGAATTCACAATTTATTTATTTTTTAGTTAAACTGCTCTTAACAGTTAACATCACTTACAAGTTACAACTTTCACATACCCATTTGTATGAGGCGCATCCATACACGAGATGTCCAAAGTGAAGTGTGACTTTTCTAAAAGTTTGTCGTTGTTATTGATTTACTTAAATTGGTTTCGAGGCTAAATGCCAACCCAAAATCTTTTGGGAATAAGGCTTAGATATTGTTGTTGGTGGTGGTTTTGAGGCTAAATGGAATCATTAAGAGTCCAAGTTCAGTAAAGTGTTTTTGTTAAAAGTTTAGGTGTGACCATCCTATTCTAAACTAGTGTAGCTGTTCTCTATGTTAAAATGCAGACATAATTTTATTTTCCAGAATATGTGATTACTTATATCTATGGGAGGATCTAAAAAAAGGCAATATGTGAATATTGTAGGTAAAGATCACGCTCGTTACACTTTTTTCTTTCCTGCCTAAAATTATTGACTTGGTACCTTATGAGGCCTCAAACTAACTATGGAACAGGTTGCCGGCCCAATATTTGGGGCAACAAAAGAAACTTGCATCACATAATCAATATCAAATGAGACCGAAATTGGTGCAACATCTAACCTCTTGTTGTATATAAACACCTATGTCTCCAAGCACGGCATTTCCAGATGCATCTTTGGCATTTGTTTTCTCAAGAAAAATCTGCAAGGAAACGGAGGCTTTACAAACATGCATTATGATAGCAGTCACAAAGGTTCAAGCTACAGTTTTAACAGAGGGAATTAAAAAAACTTAAAAACTAAAGATCTGTTTGGTAAGTCTTATTTGCCTGAAATGGATGGATACAACAAAAACATTACCCCAGACCCACAAAGGCTCCCACCTATGGTGGGGTAAGGGGGGTCGGATGTACATAGCCTTACCCCTGTACTAAAGTATAGAGAGACTATTTCCGTATGACCCATGATGAAAATCGCATCGAAAATTGCATGGACTGACTACTGCTTCATACCAAAGAAGTGCACACATTTTTGTGAGCCATTTTGCTTTATTCCTTCATATTCCCAAGCCAAAAAAGTATTGGTAACATCGCTTTAACTAAATAAGTAAGTCAAAAACTTCGTATTTCGCGGAATAAGCCGATTATGGCAATCAAAAGACCTCAATCTTCTTCTGCCTAGTAAAAGTATAGTTTTCGCATTTGATTTCTATTAGTTCTTCTATCTGAACTCATAGAAATAATGCTTAACTTTTTAATAAAATGTAATAAGGAAGTGGGCTGGGCCAAGTAATTAGTTAGATTGAGGGGAAGCTTTATTGGAAAAGAATAAATATAAGGAACAGAATAGGGAGAGAGGCAGGCTGGGTGATAGAGAGCAGGAAGAGCATGGGGCGGGAACGGGCTTGGGCCCACTTCCATGAGCCGGTTATGGGCTGGAATTATAGTTTTATTCGTTATTATAAAGTTTATGTTATGTTTTTAGTTTGGGCCTATTATTAGTATAGTATTTACTAGAGTTAGTATGGGCTTAATTAGGATTTAATTAATTTGGGCTCGATTAGGGTTTATGTTGAGTCTCTTACTTGCCAGGGTTCATTTTTGCTTATCTTTGAATAAAGTTGGATTTCAGCCTTTTGGCTCTGGGCAACGGTTTTTATCCTTGATTATTTGGGAAACGGTTTACCCGTTTATTATTTTTCCTTTTCTGAACAATTGGTCCGACCTGCCGGATCCCATCCCGCTGGAATGACAAGATCTCAGAACGATCGCTTGACAGAGATGGAGGTCGAACAAAGAAAGATGGTGGCCAAGCAAACAAGGATGAATCAAGCCCTCGAAGAACACAGCATGAGGCTGGCCGAGATCGCCGCATCCCTGGCGGAGCTATCCAAGGCCCTTGTGCCGCCGGTCACGGCAGAAGTAACCTCGAACGCAGTCGGCAGCGTCACAGTAACAGCGCACAACCGCGATGGTCCTCCGCACAACACCACTCCAGCATTGATGCCCTCCTTCGACGGAGAAGACCCGATTGTGTGAATAGCTCGGGTGGAACAACAGGAACTTTACCGGAGAAAAAAGTGACAGGTGCTATGGTTGCCATGGAAGGGGGGCTCTCTATTGCTTAAACCGACCTGATCTGAAAAGGATTCAAGCAAGCTTTGGTGGCCAGATTCGACTCCCGGTTTAAAGGGAACATGTTTGAACGGCTGTCCGGGGAACAAGTTTGAACGGCTGTCCGGGGAACAAGTTTGAACGGCTGTCCGGGGAACAAGTTTGAACGGCTGTCCGGGAAACATGTTTGAACGGCTGTCCAGCGTCAAACAGATTGGATCAGTGGAGAACTACAATACCCTGTTTGTTCAGTTGGCCAGCCAAGTTCCATCCGGAATTGCCTTATGAACATTATTTGGGATACTACATGAATGGACTGAGAGAATCAATCTAAAGCTCACTGCGCTTATTTCGACCGAATAACTTGGAAGAGGCCATGGAATTAGCTCGCGATGTGGAGTATAATATGTCTGTTCAGAGTGGAGGAAGAGCCAGTCCAAATTATAATCCTACAGGGACACGCTCCAGTAGCTTTTCACTGCCAAACATGGGTCCTCTGTTGACCACCAGTGGTGGCAGCATACAGGAATCAAACGGAAGCTTTCTGAAAGATAGTGGGCAGCCCCCCAGGGACAAAGTCAGGGTTGTCCAGGCTGTCTACTGCACACTCTCAGTTCACTCGACTTCTGCCGAAAAATTTAGTAGAAATGCGGGCGAAAGGATTATGCTTTAGGTGTAAGAAACATAGTCACGCGGATCGCGGTACAAAAATGGGAACGCGGATCGCGAATATTAGAAATCCGATACGTAGGGGGTAGGCTTCTTCGGTACACGATTTCGGTACGCGGTACGTTGTACCCTTTGTTGATGGTACGGTGAACCATAAACATATAAATTTTAATAAGTATAAATACAATTAATAATATATTAATAACTTCAATTAACTTCAATAACATCAAACAAACTTAATAAAGTTTGCAACAACAATAGAAGCTATAAAACAGTAAACAAAGTTTCAGGATTCCAGCTGGAGTACTGGACGAAGACTGGGAGGAAAAACAGTTCTTCTTAAACGCTGAAGTGAGGAAAAAACAGTTCTTCTTCCGAAAATAGATTGCCGGGAATTCCACCTCCAATATTGAACAAGGAGTTTCAGACAGCTGCACCGTCAGTCCAGGGGCTGGGGGCTAGATCAGGAAGATGATATGATCCCAGCTACGGGGACTCTACCTCATTATCAGGAGTATTTGAAACTGTAGGAGGTGGCCGTCTCGAATTGGCCTCCGTTGTATTCCTCTTGTTTTCTACAATATCAATAATATTTCTTCTCCAATTTTCTGTGTGCGTATCACTTTTCTTTTATATCCTTGTAGATTAGTACACAAGAAGTAGCATATCACTCCTGACTCCTCTGATCCATGACGTGGATACATAAATCGCTACAGAAGGCGTGATCTGCGTATCGAACGTTCCATACCCAATCGCGGTACGAAAACGATCCGGTCGTTGGTCGGTACGCTATGTGGTACGTTCTTCACGTCGTTCCCAGTCGCTGTTCAGAGTCGATCTGAATCGATCTTCTAATCGATCCCAAACGATGTTTGCAGCGATTGTATTCGCCATTCCCAGTAGTCGCGCAGCTTGAAAATGTGGTTTCCCGTCATCCAGATTTGAATCGTCGTTTCCCAGATTTCAAAGTTCAAACAGGTTTGCGACTCTTGCTTTCCGGTTCGTTTCCCATGTGTAAACGGCGTACGAAGTACGAACTTTGATTTTAGAACCACACTCCTAGACTCTTAGTTTTCTCATTTCTGATCCTACTCATCAATTTTACCCTCTAATAACAGTTATAAATTGAGGCAAAATGATCTGCTCCTAGACTTCTTGAATATTAATGTTTTTGCTTTTGTTTAATGTTATGAAATCTGTTTCTGTTCAATGTTGGAATCTCTATTCTGTAATTCAGTTTTATTATAGTACCAAAAGATTAGGTACAGCGTACCGAACATATGGTACATTCTACCGAACGCGTACCGAATGAACCTACCCTCCTTCGAATCGGATACGCTAGATCTAGGGAACCGCGTTCCCGTTCCTCGCAGTGATGTCAATCGCGCGCTATAGCGCCGCTATAGCGGTGGAGCGGAGCGGATGAGAGGTCTGGCGCTACTAGACCTCCTGTAGCGGAGCGTTTGGGTGTAGCAGACTTCGCGGGCGCTATAGCGGGGGGTGCTATACAGGTAGAGGCGGATGCTATAGCGCCGCTTCTTGCGATCGAAGGTCTCCAAGGGTTTTTCTGCGTTTAATTTTTGACTACGGAAGGACAGGGGCAAAGTAGACTTTTAAAACTAAATAGGAACCAACTTAAAACCCTTGTACACATACGCAGAAGTGTAGAACCCTTAAAAACGGCTCCATGTTTTAATAAATCCGTATGTCTTCTCTTCTCTCTGTTCTGCGATGACCTCTGCTTCAACAAATTTTTCTGCTCCATCTATTTCAAGAACGACCCGTGCTCCTTCAACTTGTACAAGAATGACACATGCTACACTCCTCTTTGTTTCTTTGCAGTGGTAGACTGATACACTATTAATTTATCATGGCTTAAACCACGAACTTGTTTTTGATTCAATGTTTTGACTTAGATGTTTTAATCATTAATAGCATCATATGTTTTGCTCATGAAACTAAGGAATATTTCCCAGTAATTTAGGATTTAAGAATGTTAAGATGTTTGCAACTTTAAATGGCATACATCATACTTTACTAATGTGTATGTAATGTAATTATATGTTTCTAGTTAATTATGTATTATACTTAAAAGTAGTCTGAATAGCGGTCATCCCGCTATCCGCTATACCGCTATAGCGTTTTCAAGGCTGGTCGCTCTGCTCCACTATCTGGTATTGACAACACTGGTTCCTCGTCTCGTACCGTACCGTACCGCGAACTATGTGACTATGATCCACGTCCGTTTGGGTCTTTCTCTACCACTCCTCTCTACCTCTTCTCCCCCACCTCTCAACTCGTCTAATAGGTGCATCACTCGGTCTTCTACACATGGTCAAACAACTGCAATCGAGGCTCTCACATCTTATCTTCAATAAGTGCTATTTCACCTTTTGTTTTATTGTCTCATTTTTCATGCAATCTTTTCTAGTATATCCACACATCCAACGCAAAATGCGAATCTCGGTCACACACATCTATTGAATGTGACATTGTTTCACCGCTCAACACTTTAAGTCATATAATAATGCGGGCCTAATTGTTCTCCAATAAAACTTACCCTTCAGTCTAGCCAGACATACCTCGATCACATAGAAATCTTGACGTACACTTTCATTTCATCCACCCTATTCTGATTCTATGGGATACATTTCCATCAAGTTATCCATTCTAAATTATGGAGTCCATGTAACAAAACATATCATTGGCCGGCATCTCATTATCATCTAAGTTAATCCCACTGTTACCATTGCTTCTACCCCTATCAAAGGTGCCCTACATATACTAAGTCTTGAAAGGACTCAGTCTGAAACTCTTATTCTCCAATGTTTGTCACCATTTACAGTTCTAAATTTTTTGGAATATCCTTCTAAACCTATTATAGTGTCTGCTCATTAAATAGTGCTCAATTTTAAAATGGAAAGAATCACATGTTAACTAAAAATACTTCAGGACAGAAAAACTCTTGTATAAGCACAATGAATGACCCTTTTTCCCTTGTTTGGTTAGTCAATCTCTCAGCGGTGATTTTTATTTATAAAATACTAGTACCCATGTCCCATATAAAGGTTCTCATCCACTATTCTCTGGTCAACGTAAATTTTTCTTAATCTTTTACTTCATTCCAATTTTTATCAAATTTGAGTTTTTTGCAACTTTATAAACTTTTAATGTAGTTTCTGAATATGTAATTTTTATTTACTAAAAATAGCCTTAGTATTGACAGGGATCAGTTCATTTTATGACCAGTCAAACAACGTAATCCAGGAGTGAGCAAACGGGTACAGGAACCGCGGACCGGGACGGGTAATACAAGTTCGGTGCGAGTTAGGGCAGGTCCTAATTTTAGAAAACCAAAACGAGGCGGGGCGGGTACGAAAAAAGTTAGGAACCATATGGGTTTTAAATTTTAAATTAAAATATCATTTATATAAAAGTCTATTATATTTAATACTACCTCCGTCCCATTAAGATTGGAACAAGAGAAGGTGACACGATTATTAAGAAAAGTGGATTTGTGTGGCTGATATTAAATTGATAAAGTAAGAATAAATTAAAAATGATTTAGAGCCACACAAACTTTACCGAATTTGGTATGGGACAATCTTAGTAGGATTTCCCGAAAAGGTAAAACGGGACAATCTTAACGGGACGGAGGGAGTATAATATAATATACTAACAACACCTGAAATTTCTTCATATCCATGAATCTATTAAGAATAGTTTCAAAGTCCATATAAACTTCTAAATTATTTTCCTCATTTCTTTATTCCAAAGGGAAAATGGAAACTAATAATCCAACATTTTAGCGGTCTTCTTACAATAGTCTCACCTTTTCATTATTCATGAATAATCCAACCTTTGCACCTCATCTTCATTCACTAGTCCGTGACCGATTTATGACCTGTTATTCCAAGTTATTTTCTTATCTTTGTAAAACATTATACCATAATTCCCACCTTATGATCACATAATGTTTTGCAAAGATAAGAAAATAACTTGGAATAACAGGTCATAAATCGGACCAGTGAATGAAGATGAGGTGCAAAGGTTGGATTATTCATGAATAATGAAAAGGTGGGACTATTGTAAGAAGACTGCTAAAAGGTTGGATTATTAGTTTCCATTTTCCCTATTCCAAATGCATAAGTTTTCTTTATTTAATTGTTTTTGTAAACAACGACTCTTACTCAATAAAGTGTGACATATTCATTTAATTATCTTAATTTTACTTACATTTTGAGATTTATTAAGTTTAAATTGTTTTCTTACCCCAAAATCTTTCGGGATTAAGGTTTGGATGTTGTTGACTTGTTGTAAATTGTTTTCTTAAACATATATGTATAGTGACTAGTCTATATCTTATGATTTTGTGGTGCTACCTTTTTAGTTTATGGATGATGATGTCTAATGTTCTACATTTCAAAGTTTGGTGTTATACTTTTATTTAATTTGTGTAGTTGTGTGTTATTTAATTTATAGATTTGTGGTTTGATATTTTGTTAACTAATTCAAAACTTTGATTTATACTTTTATTTTTAATTTTTACTATATTATGGTGGCATTGATACTTAATTAGTTTGAAAATGTTATTACCTACTAGATGTTTTGTTATGATAGTGGTATTTTTACAAAAAATAAGAACCGAGAACCCGGACCGAACCGGTCTGTTTCAAATAGGGCGAATAAGGTCTGGTTCCTATTTCTAGATTTGGTATACCCAGACAGAACCTACCCGTAAATGGAACTGGTGGTTCTTGAAAACTTATCAATTACCCGGACTGATACAGACCGTGTCCACCCCTAGCGTAAACCGCATGGGAACCTATAAGTGAGACGGAGAGAGTATAAAACACATGACCTAACTAAACAGATAGAATTTGTCTTAATCCAAGAATAAAAAAATAGAAGTGGAACAAAAAATAACCCCCCAATTATCCAAGTGAACAAGCCCATAAGCTCTCGGGAGGGGGAGTATTGATATCTCCTATTGGCCGAGTGGAAGTAAAATGAAAATGTCCCCAAGATATTTAATGCCATGTTGAGCAGTAAAAAAAGCTAATTATTGGGAGAGGAAATTACACTATTCATAGTCTATAACAAATAAATTATAATCATAGCATGACTTCACCTGCCCCGCTCCCTCAGCCACACAAAGCACAGCTGAACCCTTTGTCTCGAGAAGATACTTTAGATGTCTTAAAACACCATGTGGTCCATGCAGATTAAAAGGTACCTGGAATGTGCCAATAAGAAATTCTAACCTGTTAATGTCTATAGAATAGTAATTATAGAAATAAAGTAATCTTGGTTTTATCGGCATTGTATTTTCATATTCTCACTAGGTTTGGGGTATGCTTGGATCAATGGATCATGTTAAATTGTAGGCAAAAGGAAAGAAGGTTAATGATTTTTTTCAACCTTTGCAATGGAGCCAAAAACTCACTATTTTTTGGCTTTGGAATATGATGGAATAAAGCAAAATTGCTCATTAAACTGTCTGCGCTTCTTTGTTATGTTCTTTGTTATGAAGCAGCAGTTAGTCTATGCAATTTTCGACGCGATTTTCGCTATGGGTCATCGGCAAACGGTCTCTTTGTGCTTTAGTAATAAAGCACAGGGGTAAGACTGCGTACATTTGACCCCCCTTTACCCCATCGTAGGTGGGAGCCTTTGCGGCACTGGGGAAATGATAATGATGATGTTTTCTTTTAACTTTGAAAATGCAAAAGAAAATGCAATATGAGCTTTTAAAAAAAGATATAATACATATTTTTAGATATCTTGAACTTAATACTTAAACATAAAAGCAATAATCAATAAAGTGGCTGAACAGATAATCTAAACTAATGTATTCATGTTGAGCCTGTTTTTCATTTTCCCTGGGATTTTCTTTCCTTCTAATTTTCCTAAATTTTCTCCAAAGTTATGCTTATAGTACTTTTTTGTGTTCCCAGGGGTATATTGAGCCCTATAGTATATTGAGGGTTAGCACAGGCTACACATCAAAAGTTGGTATTAGCCTAAGTCGTAGAAGAATTTATTTAAAAGGATCTTGGATGCTGCATGTGCCGTGTTCGATTCCCTTAAAAGTGCATCACTTAATTTTTTTAACACCCTTAATTCTTACATTGTAGGCCGGGTTAAGCTCAAATATTTGAATTTAATTTTGAATCCCTCCAAGTCCAGCAGAGCATTGAGCCTCCCACCCCGGCCACTTGCTTTGTCCTCCACCCAATTTCAACCTTTGAAGCTATTTTTAAGTAATTGGGCATGAGTCGTCTTTTTTCTCTGCATCAGTATTTTTTAGCAAATTTGCATGTGTTTTTCTCCATATTATTTTTCTCTCTATTGAATCACGAAGTGAATACGAATCATTTAGGGTTTTTTAAATTTCATTTTTCACTACTATAACCCATCATTTAGATATCTTTTGTATTGTTTATACATCTTGATGTACGGAGTATAATGTTTTTGTACATATACTTATATAATAAAATCATTTTTATATTATAAATAATTTCTAATAAAAATATATAAAAGGTCAAAGTTCAATTTCATTAACCAAAAGATTCAAATATGGTAAAGTTTTAAGAGACGGAGGAGGAAAAGTCGTGGTGTAATAATAATGAAGTTGGGTCGTGTTGTCGGTGTAGTGTAGTGTCGTAATTTTTTTAAACCGCTACGTACTATATATATGTGCATACCCTAAGCTCCGATGCCTGGGTCCACCACTGTGTGCTCCACAGGTTTTCTATTTACATTGTGTTTACGATCATTATTATTTCTCTATAAAAGCATTACAAAAGTCATGAAAAACTATATCGCCGTAAGTTGAAAAATCATATCAACAAAGAAGTAGTTTAATATATAGCACATCAAGGGGGGAACAGATATCCTTTTCAACAAAGTATGTAATTGGACACACCTCTGGAATTAAGCATATGTCGATTTGCCCACTGGCTAGTGATGCATGCATTGCTATAAAGCCACTACTACGACCCATCAACTTCACAACTCCAATACCACGATAAGCACTATGAGCCTGTCAAGAAAGTAAACGAGATTGACTCATCATGTTGTACCGATTTGTGGAAAGATTTATAATGTCAATGTCGAGCTCAAGGACTGAGATAAGCTGGGCACTTTGCAGTATGGCAGAGGATCTGCTTCCCAGAAAGCCAGCTTAAAAATAATTAGAGGGGTCAGGAATGATATGGTACTTCTAGGATTAGATAACATATGTGTGGAGGATTGATCTTATTTTATCTTTTTTATCTTCTTTATCTTGTTATCTTATCTTTTTTATCTTTTTGTCTTAGTTTTTAGGGAAAAGTACGGAAAAGGTACTTGTGGTTGAGCCCGTTTTCAGATAGGGTCATGTGTTTCATTCTTTATCAAAGTGGTTCATGTGTTTGAATTCCGTTATCACAAGAGGGTCACACCGTTAAAAACATCTAAAAAGACCGTTAAAAGTAACTCCGATTTTCAAAAGTGCCCGAAAAATTAAAAGAAAAATACCAGAAGGTGCACCTCAATAAGACGACTGTTAGGCAATATTTCTTTTTTGTTTTCAGCCGCCCTTGTCACCGGAAAGTCTATCGGAAAAGTGATATTAGCGAAATCATTTTTAAATAATTCAAACAGATCTGAAATATCCAAAGGCGAAGGTGGTTTGGAGGTCATCTTGACGAGACGCACCTTTCGGTATTTTTCTTTTAATTTTTAGGGCACTTTTTAAAATCGGAGTTACTTTTAACGGTCTTTATCAGACGTTTTTAACGGCGTGACCCTCTTGTGATAACGGAATTCAAACACATGAACTACTTTGATAAAAAATGAAACACATGACCCTATCTCAAAACGGGCCCAACCACAAATACATTTTCCGTACTTTTTATGTCTTTACATTATCTTTATTTGTCCTTCTTTTTATCTTTTTTTATCTTTTTCATCTTTCTTATCTATTTATCTTATACTATCCTCCGTATCTCATTAATTGCAACATTGGAATATATACACTATTCATGTACTTTACTTTGACTACATTTTATTTATTAATGTATGTGAATTATTTTTTTTGAAAAATGTTGTTACATTCGTCTAATTACTAAGTTTTATAATCTAATTTTTATTTTATTTTTACTAATACAAAATTAAATATAATGACGGTCAAAGTTGTGTGTTGGCAAACGTGAAATGTTGACTGTTGCAACTAAAAAGAGACGGAGGAAGTATAATCTTTTCAGCTCTTTTACCTCCGATTTTATAGATCGATTCATGTTAGCCGATCTCGTACTCTTTTAGGACTAAGGCTTGGATGTTATTGTTTTGTTGAAAAAAAAGCACATTACCCTAGGTAAGAATAGGATACCTCGTAGAAGATAAAGTACCGGTGTGAGATTACGTGAATATAAGATCACGTCAAACTGTTTGTAACGAGATGTGATATTATTTATGTCGTTAAGTTGTAAGAGACAAAGTCATAATAATCTAAAGTGTAAAATCTATACCTTCTTTCTTATTTTTATCTCAGCATTTAAAAGTGTATATCTTTACCTTTTTTCTTTCTTGTGTCTTTTTTTCTTCTGTATTATACTTTATCTCCTCACAACTAACAAGTTTCTTCATTTAGTTTGGTTTGTTTCTTTATCTGACTTGTTTTATATTTTAAAATTATAACTATGCCATATATTTTATAGTATATAGAGGGTGCGCTTGATATGAGACACGCGAGCGCTTTTTTTTGCGACTTGCGCCTCAAGTGATTTGAGTACTCTAGCGCCTTGAGTGCGCCTCACGACTTTGACTACCTTGGGAGGGATGATTGACCTCATTTCATTTTTTATCTTACTTATGTTCTTCATTAGACCCAAACAGACTTGGATTAGAGGAATCAGAACTGATATGTGTTCTCTTGGGTTGGATGAGAGTATTGTTTTGGAGAGAGCAAAGTGGAGGGCGCACATATGTGTGGACGATTGATGTCTTTTCTACATTTCCTCTCTCTTTTCTTTTACCGTTTATCTTCTTTATCCTTTTATATTCTTATGTTATTTTTATCTTCTAGTTTTTTATGTTCTTTTATCTTTCCTATATTCTTATGTTATTGTTATCTTATATTTATTTATTTTTATTTTATCCGTTTTATCTTACTTTTTTTCTCCTCCTAGTCCGTCTCTCTGTTTGGCATCGATATCATAGATCGATTCATGTTAGCTGACCCCAAATTCTTTTGAGATTAAGGCTTGGATGTTGTTGTTGTTGTAGTACTTATGTTCTTCATTTTTTTATCTTTATCTTTTTTTTATTCTTCCATCATTTCCAATAGAGCCAAAGACACTATTTTTGGGCTTGGGAATATGATGAAATAAAGCAAAATGACCCACTAAACTGTCTGCAGTTCTTTGTTATGAAGAAGCAGCAGACAGTCCATGCAATTTTGACACAATTTTCATCATCGGCCATCCAGAAAAGTCTCTCTGTTTTAGTACAGAGGTGCGGCTGCGTACATCCGATCCCTTTTACCCCACCGTAGGTGGGAAGCCTTTGCGGCACTGAGGTAATGTTGATGTTTCTATCTTTTTATCTTATCCTTATCTTCTTTTTATCTTTATCTTATTTTAGTTTATCTTTTTTCATCTTATCTTTTTATCTTTTATCATGTTTTACTCAATTTGATATGTCAACTCAGGTTGGCCAACCCCAAACTCTTTTGGGATTAAGGTTTGTATGTTGTAATAGTAGTAGTATTTGTCACAAGAATGACATTGCATACGTGAGAATTTGTGTTGATCTGCCTGTCTTACAATAATAACAATACTAGGGGTATTTAGAATGCAGCCAACCCATAATATAGGACATTAAGAAATATACATTTAGAATATCATTTAACTCTCTTGTAATCTAATCTCCCATCTCAACTATTGTTCTTTCCCCTTCATTTATCCTTGATTCTCTAAATTCTCTGCAGAATCTAGTTTGGAAGGAAAGAATCCTTCCCAATCTGTTTTGCAATAAAACTCAGATTGGCAAGGATTATTTCCTTCTACATGTAAGAGTCCCACTCGAAGTGGAGATTTGATACCTGAGTATATCGCTCCACTTTACCTCATTATCCTATGTGGAGGTAATATCAGATTATTTTGGTAATCTGAAAGCCAGAACCTGACAAGGTCAATCTTAAACCATCTTTTACTAAGATAATGTGATATGACCTGAACTAAACAACCCCCTAGGTTAATAGGCTTCTTCGAGATATGTAGTTTACATGACTAATATGGTATTTCAATTGTGTTATCAATTATGGAACTTAAGAATGTCATTCGATAGTAAGTCTTGGAAGCGTAAAATATGCTTTATGAAATTGTGAACAGAATCAAATCAAAGGAATCCTATGGTTTAGTATTGTAACAAATTACTGAAAGATAAAAAAAAATCGAATAGCATAAAGTGTAGTCAACAGTCAGCACCTCAATGTAAGCAGAATTAATAGCTCTTTGTGCTTCTTCAACTGCGGTATCAAAACCAAAGGTTTTATCCATGAGCATAATATCATTGTCTATTGTTTTTGGTACACCAACGACAGCCACCTTTAGCCGCCGTTTAAGACACTGAATATCAAACAGTGGACATCAAGAATCACCACAATATCACATTTGCTTTACATAATAGAAAGATTTAATAACCGATTTAGTCCTCATAATATGGACATTTTCGTTACACAATAGAAAGAGTTAATAACTGATATAGTTCTAACACTATACGCCGTTACCCAAATTGGTTTTCAACTTTCTTCCGCATAAATTTGGTCCTCAACTATGCAGTTGAGACTTTATTAGTTCTTATACATGTTTTGTTCCGGTTAATAAGGATACTTTTGTACGATGAGGATTAATGGTGGCTCAAGTGCATAACTGAGGACCAAATTGAGTCTTCAAGCTCAGTCTAAATTTAGTTAATGGAGAATGATGCCCTTCTTATTTAGAAATAAATATATATGGGGATAAAGTGCGGTCAAATTTAATAATCACGGAACAAGTTGAGCCCGGGGAGAAAAGTGAAGACCAAATCGAGTAATATTGGATAATCAAGGGACTAATTGGGTATTAACTCCATTAAAAATATACAAGAACTTATCAAGAATGATTTTGAACACCATGTAAGATTAAAAACCTCATCATGGATAGCATTAGCACCAGCATGTGTCCCGTTTCCACCTAGCACAAACAACATATTGATTCCTCTTTGCTGAAACCAAGTAGTACAAGAGAGTAAGCTATTTACTAACATAACCATATCTAATAAGGTACGAAAAACACATACCTCCTCCGTCCAAAATGATTTTCAAAAATATTTTTCTTGGTCAACAGAAATCTCTTTAACTATAACTTTGACTTCAAATTTTCATCATTTTTGGATTTCTTTTTTGCTATTCAATAGAACTTTTAGTTTAGTATCTGAATATATAAACTTTATTTACTAAAAATAATTTAAATATTAGCAAGGAAAAATTAACTTTAACCGCAGTCAGCTTTGTAAAACATTTTTTGCAACACTTTTTTGAATGGAGGAAGCATCTCGTTATAAAGTGGACTTAATCACACCTCAATACTATCCACAATATCACTGAGTTTAGGTCCTCCACGTGAAACTCCTAACAGGCTTCCCCCAGAGAGATGAATGTTTTGAACCACTTTCCTAGATAGCTGAAATCAAAGAATACTTCAAAAAAAGGGAGGAATATTTCCTTTATGATAAAAGTACATAACCCCATCTTTAGGATCCTTATCCAGCATCTTAGACAGGCTTTTTATAAACTTGAAGTGTTATAAAATTCAAAATGCCAAAGAACTCACAGGCATTTCAGAAAGACCATCATCAGAAAACCCACGATATCCAAAGGGAATCCCAACAATCTTGTTCACACCATATATCTCAAGTGTGATGACTATCTGCGACCATCAATGAAGTTGTTAAATTGGACATAACTCACCCCAAAAGAATCATCAAGAGGTACATTACACTAACCTTAATAGCATATAATCGGTGTTGGAAACATAACACACACCCCTTGGCTCAAACCATATAGGTATTGGTGAACAAATGGCCGAACCTGACTCCTAAACAGGTTAAAACTCACCCCAAAAAGATTTCCAAAGATTTGAAATTTATCTAACACTTATATTCCTAAAAAGATTTATGTTTTGCCAGGTAAAACTTTTAAGCTTTGGTAATTGTGAATCATCATTCTTACTTTTTTTTTAAATAGTTGCATCGAATTCAATGAGAATTAACTTTTTTCGGAAAAAAATTATGACCTTTCTATGAGAGGGAGTATATGCTAGACTTGAATCCCAGTAGACTACCGACATGGGACACTCAGCAACTATGATAGTATGATCACACATAAACTAGAAAATCCATGATAAATAGACCAGTTTTAAGGTAGTTATAGTAATTCTCTTATTACATGCTGGCTGATGACTACTACTTTTAGCTACGGGTGCTAAAGACTGAAAATTGTAGAGTTGAATAGACCAGAAGATATAACTGAAATATGAAGCAATCAAATAAGAACGCTAAAGCATAAATAGTAAAAGATGAAAGTACGTGTCTGATAACATCATTGAGACCAGGACAAAGCCCGCCACAAGTCACAATCGCTGCTTTCACTTCTTCGGGCTTGTAATAAATCTTCTCGCGAGGACCCGCACGGTGAACCCTGTGTTTAGATGTTTTAGCAATACACACCACATTACATTCCATGTCAGATGTTTAGACTTCTGAAAGTTACATCAAGGAAAACCAATACCAAAATAAGCCCCTTGAGTAATTTTGGTACATAAAACTTCCTCCCCACACAAGTTAACTAGACTTGAGCTAAATCAGGCTTATTTGAAAAGAAAATGCTTGACTTTTGGTAGCACACTGGCACCCATTTGTTTAATACGAGAGAAATAGAACAGAAAGATATATTATTTATTTTTGAAGGGACAAATATACCCTTTATTGGTGTTACTTTTGAATTTAAGAATGGGTACAAATGGGAAAAACTTAAGCTTTCGGCATTTCAAATAAAAGAAATGCTCAATTTCTTGATTTCTTCCCTCTTCCTTTTCCTCTTCTCACCTCTTTCCTTCCAAACACACTACAAGAGAACCAGGAATACAAAATGTACCCCCCCCCCCCCTCACACACACAAAAAAAGAAGCAAATATGAAAATATCCAGAAGTGTGAAGTATAAATTTGCCCAAGAAACATGAATGGAAAGTAAGAGTTAATTTATTTCTAAATTAGGGCTGCTAATTGACGTCACTGATATGGATGGAACCATTAAGCATTGCTCCAAAATTCCTGAAATTCAGCTCCCTTGTTGTCCTCTATCGTTAACTGATCTCTATGATTTCATTTTCAACTGTTATTGCTTTCTTCGACGTTCTTCCTGATCTGCCGCTATTAGGACAAGATTTAAAGGTTTATGATTTGAGCCAGAGTGGAGTAGAGTCGAGAAAATGAAAAATAAAGAAGGTTTAATAACTAAATTTTACATATTAATTTCATCTTGTAAAACATATATCTCAAATTTGTCATCTCAGATATTCCGGGTGAATCATCAATTCTGGTCCTGTTTGGAACATTTTGGTTCTGTTTTAGCAATTGGAATGTGGCATACAATGATAAAAAGAACAAGATCAATAACCTTGAATAGCACACCTCCACGTCAGGGAGCTATATTGCTTCGGGTTTAGCAAAGCATCTTTTTATGCAAGTAATTTCACCTAAGCATGAAAGTGACACTTACCATTGTTCTACCCATGTACAACAAGGATCAATGCACTCCGCACCGGCTGAAGTCGGAGAGGAATAATATATTGTCTGAGGCATTGTAAAGTTACATTAGTAGTGGCATAATAATTTGGAGGGTTGATTATGAAGATATCACATAAAGAATACATGGCAAACAAAGATAATATACCATGTGAAGTACTAATGACTAGTCACTAATAAGGAAATAAAAACTCAAAGATAGAGAGAAGAAACACACCTTAAGAAGCACTCTGTCGTTATTGTTGACATATCCATGCCATTCTTCATCCGATGGGTACCCTTGTGCAAAAACTTCACTTACTGGTGTTCTAATAGAATTTGTTCATGAAGTTCAGTTACCGAAAAATAATATCTTTAGCTTTTTGAATAATACATTGGGCTACTCATTCTAAAGAGCAATTCTATTCGATCAAGATTCAAAAGGAGCCCATCACATAAAAAACTATGGGAAGCCATTGAGAAAAGAATAAACAAATTTTGTTAAGGAATTAATTAAACACTCAGTAGTAGGTAGAGGTGAAGAAGAGACCGCATTTTAAGGCAAAAGGTGGAGGGGTAAGAAACTGCGTCAGGGAATACATCGGTGATGTGAGGAATACTGAAGCGAGATTCAAATTCCTTCTGGTATTTCAGCTTCCAATCAGGATCAGTGAAGTCAATGCCGGTCTTCCCACTACTGGCTGCTTTTACTCGAACAGTGCTTTGTCTGCGGTTCACCACCGAGCTCCGCCAGAACGAAACTGAAAAGAGATCACTATGCCGGCAGTGAGCTCTCCTCGTGGGGGGAAGAACTCTCATCGGCCGGATCGCCGGCGAAAGCGACTCCATATGTGAAGAGACAAAGACTGCTGAGGAAGTAAGCAGATGCTGAAGAAAGACAGGAAGTACGAAAGAGGACAGAGGGAGAGACTGGAGGCGACTGGCAACTATACGATGCCGGCGGTGAACGACCAAATTGGTTCAGTTACCGCTGATTCTCAGGCACATATGGACTAAATATGAAAATGAGGTGAGTGTCACTTCAATTCGGTATAACAAGCAAATTTATTTAATTTAATTAACACTAACATGAACGACTTATATAAGTTTAATTAATAGAGATAAGTACTTGGTTTTGTTTCTATCCACTTAATGAAATGTTCGTCGATCTCGGTTATATCTTTAGCTATCTTCCTCTTGAATACTCAACCGAGGAGTATATCCATTTCATCGAGGGTAGTTATCAATAATGAGATGCGTTCATTAATAAAACTTACTACCGAAGCAATATAGAACACACGTCGTATATTAACCCGATAGTAGCAATAAATTTAAGATTAAAATGATTGAGATTGATAACATCAACACAAGCGGTTTATTGGTTTAATCACTATAATTAATTTCCCTTAGATTATTAACCATGAGACGCATGCATTAATAATTCAAGTTTACTACCATTGAAAGAATCAAATTAATAACAAGTGTATTAATCGATTGATTCTAGTAATAATTAATATATAAACAAAACTAGTTGATCCTTTAAGTAATGTTCAAAATATTAATATGAAATATAAATAGGAATTAATTAATATGCAAGGAAGAAGATTAAAGAAAGTAAATGCTACTATAATTAATGTCGAGATGTTAACTAATTGTCGTCTTAGCAACACTCATCAACATTTATATAGAGCTAGATTAAATTAATATCCAAGGAAGAAGATTAAAGAAAATAATTCACAACTTACATTTCATTAAGCTTCAAAGTAGCAAAACCAAGATGGAAGAGTTTAGCTCCTCATTTGGAGACTAAACATAGCTAGAAAAATATAAAGAAATGATATTCTAAACTGAGCTTAAGAGTATGGAAGAAGGAATGATGAAAAGTGAAGGAAAATTGGGTTATTCATAGGTGTTTTCAAGACCTACAGCCGGATACCCGGCCGGGTATTTGACATACCCGACTGGGTATTTATCAAATCAGATCTTTTCCCATGTTCTTGTGTTCTTCTGCACGTTTGTTTGCCCGAAATCACTTCATACCCGACCGGGTATAGGGAATACCCGACCGGGTATTTGCTATTTTCGTAGCAACTTCCTCTGTCAGTTCATACCCGACCGGGTAAAGGCCATACCCGACCACGTTTTGCATAAAACTCATGTTTTCTCATCCTTCTTGCTTCCAAACCTATCCTAAACTTATAGCCTAACTAGCTACAACTAACAACAAACAATAAAATGCTACAAATACGATTACAATCAAATACAAACTAACAACTACAAACTTGCGTAATACTAGTAAATAAACATTACAAACAATGATAAAAATGTATACTTAGGCACTACCGAGTAGTGCCTATCAAGGTACATAAATTGTAATAATCGGTGCCGATTTAGTCCTACTAGCAATTAGGTGAGATAAAACGCTGAGTTGGCAATTATTAATGAAAACCCCTTCATTTTTTTTAAAAATATTTTGAAATAATAAAAGAAATCCAATTGGCCTGCAAAATTGCATAAAAACCCTTCAATCTCTGAAATTGGACGTCGGCAATCGGCATCGCAGGGGATACGACGATTGCTTCTGAAATTCTTGGGAGACTTCGACTGTCTCCTCCAATAGCAGTGGCGGTGTCTCAGGCGAGCAACGGCGGTGGCAGCAGTTCGGTCCGGCAGTACGACTCTTCTTCTTTGGCGCAACACTCTGTCTTCTTCGGTGTGAGGTCGATCCGAACGGCCACTCTAGCGACATCCCCTCTTATGTCCTAAACCAGTCGGGTCGTCACTCTCTCTTTGGTGACCCACACAGAAAAACTCTCAGTTCTGGCTGTTCGTATGTTAGTAGTGGCACGCCTGGTGTGCTGGGTTTTTCTCCCGGTGAGATATGTATCAGCTCGGCGATGAAGAACACTAAGGTTGTTTAACTGTGTCCATGTCAGCGTTTAATACGCTTAAATGCAACCTGGAACCGAATTAACACCCGTTTGGTCATTTTATGTACCTCTCAGCCTTGGTTGCATCATCGGGTACTCTTTACTCTATCGGTTACGACTTCGTGTAGTGAACTGACACTTTCCTCATATGAAAATAATGTTTGGATCTCTCAATATAGGTCTGGCAATAGCAAAAAAATTATAGAACCATCTTTACTGTTCAATTTAAAAATGAGGTCCCTCATTTAAAAATTGAACGGTAGAGATGATGTCACAATATGTCATATGACTCCATAAGGGAGTCATATGAGAGTCCATAAATTTAATTCACCCTTAATTAAATTATGTTTTTTAGTATAACATGTTTTTAGAGAAAAATATGTTATCTCTCAATATTTTTAGCTAATTGTTAGGTGTTATTGTTTTCTCTGCAATCCAGTACCTTCAATAAAATACATTGAGTATAGTTTTTTACATATTAATTTAGTAGAACATTAAGTGAATTATTATAAACAATTTTTTCTTTTAATTTTTTCTAAACATAAATGTGAAATTTAAACATACACATTTTGTTGTTAAAAATTAACAATTTCTTTAATTACTTTTCTCACATTTTCTTTTTAATGAAATATAAAGTGGGTTCAAGTAATGCTTGGTTATTTGTGAAAGCGTCATTAATTAAAAAATTGTGTTATCTGTATTTTTTAGCCTAACACCTCTTGTAATTACAATTTTAGTTTTTTTAACTTTATATATTCAATATTGTTATATTGGTGTGATTTTATAGATCATAAAAGAGTTAATTCCCTAAGTGGGAGTAAAATAACAGAAAAGTGCAAAACTAGGACCTAAGAAGTTTCGTAGGAGTAAAAGACAAGGGGATGATGAATTTGCCCTTAATGATATGTGATTTCTTTACAAATAATTTAAAACAAAACAGTAAAACAAAATGGAACAACAAACAAATAAATCGACTGCACAACTCATGAACCAGCTCTTCCGCCACATCTCTGTTGTTGTTGTAGCCACCGGCCAGCTCTTCTGCCGCCGCCGCCGGCTAGCTCATCCACCGGCGGCGCCACCTCTTCTACCACCGATCGGATCATCTCTCTCTCACCGTCAACTGGCTCATTGATCTGCCGCCTCCCCTGCTTCTGAATTCTGACACCATCAAAAAAATCTCAATGTTGCAACTTTTGAAGAACGGAGGAAGAATGTAAACTGTAAAAAAATTGAAAAATTTAACTACTGGAGTATTCTTGAACCCAAGAAAATATGAAGCACAAAATTTTAATCAATAGAGCCTCCATACATAACTGAGTATTACATGAAATCATTTATTTTTTATTAAAACTAAATAGTAAAAAATAAAAATAACAATTTTTAATGAAAATTGTTTTTTACATCGAAATGTGTATTTTTTATTTCACAATTTTTTAGGGAAAAAGTTAAATGGAAAACGTTACTTATAATAATTTATGTTAGAATATTCTAGTATTGATATGTGAGGTTGAATGAAATGGTACATGGTCTCTTCAGCCCTTGTCGTCGAGCAAACGAGCTATTCAATGTAAATGGGTCTACAAAGTCAAATACAAAAGTGACGGGTCTATCGAATGTTACAATGCCCGACTTGTGGTGTGTGGGAATCGGCAGGTTGAAGGACTCAACTACCATGAAACTTTTGCTCCCGTAGCAAAAATGGTAATTGTGTGTACTATCTTGGCAATTGCTGCTTCTAAGAATTGGTTACGTTGCTCCATCAGATGGATATTTATAATGTTTTCCACACGGAGATCTTCGCGAAGAAGTTCACATGTACCATCCACGTTGATATAATGTTCAACAACCTTGGGCTATGTGTCGTTTGTTGCACTCTCTTTATGGTTTGCATCAAACACCTTGGTGTTGGTCCTCTAAATTAACCAAGGCACTCACCCAATACGGTTTCGGCAATTTCCAGCCGACCACTCTCTGTTCACCTTGAAATGATGTGACACTATTCTCTATGTCCTTATTTATGTTGATGACTTGCTTATTACATGCAATGACACTTTAGACCATTTGGAGTGGTGAGAGAGTCTAAATGTCAATAATGGACTCCGTCGATCCATATGAAAACAGTGTTTTGACTCTTATTTCTCTGCATTCCAGCACCGTCAATAAAATGCACCATGCACATTTTTTACATATCAATTTAGTAAAACATTAATTAAATTATTATAAGTAATGTTTTTCTTTTAATTTTTTCACTGATTAATTATAAAATAAAAAAGACAGATTTCGATGTAAAAAAAATTCATCAATGTTTTTTTTACGTTTTTCGATGAAGTAAGTTCAAACACATTGCCTTTGCCTTTCCACTTCTTTTGGCCTTTTGTTTGTCCCGCCCTTTAGGGCGTTGAAGTGGCTCTCCATCCGAGGGAGAGCTAGCAGTAACCTCCGAGTGTGGGCGAATCGTGCGATTGTGGAGGCGATATTGGCCGGGTGCCCAGGTGAATGATACCGAAGCGTCGTATTGTTGGTACCACTTTGGGCACGAGTAAAGGATACGCCATGCATGCTCAAATTTGAATGGCTTGCCATGGTTATCATTAATGAAAATGTGTTTGGCTTTAAAATCCTACAATATAAAAATAAATGCGTAAAATGCATAATAATATAGCTTTTTTTATCATGCATAATAATATAGTTAATATAATATGAAAAGTGTATATAATATATACACTTTATTAATATGTACTAAAAAGTATTAATATAATATATATATTTCGAAAATATATTAGCATATAATTTTTTAATTACAGTTATGTGCATGAATAAGTAATTACAGTTTTATAAAACTGC